GCAAGAAAAAGTTCAGGTATAAATACGGCAATGAAGTCAAACATTTCTCGATGGCTTCATCACAATCATCAACAATATCGAGTGGTCATTTAAGTCAACTAAATGAGACTGCAAATCCACATTATGCATGTTATTGGTTAGATTCCTGTGGTGGTCATCATGAATTGAACCAATGTTCTCGTTGGCGCACCGAATTACGTGGTAAATTGGGTATTTATTATTCACAAAATGGTAAGTATACAACGTTTGATTATGATCACAGAAGTGGTGTCAATCTGAAACATAATCGAACCGGATGTACAACAATGCATCTATTGATTTATACTATCAGATCAAATGGTGAAACAGAGATATTATTTGGATTTAGCAATCGTAGAAACAAGCATAGTAAAGCTAATCGACGTAGTTTACTGTCATTTCCAACTTCAAAACCACGAAAACGTAATGAAGACGGTGAACAAATAGCACGACGTGCATTTAAATGGATTGCAGATCAAATAGATATTCCTGAACACGGATTAAAACCACGTTTTCTTTTTCAAAATGCAAACGTTGTCTATCCTTTACATTTAACTGATGAACAGCAGATATTTTCACAGAAAATTTTACTCCGAATGAAGAACTGCTGTCATTACATTGGGTTTCTTTGAGGCTTGTTCTTGAACGGCTCCCCGAGTGGACAAATTATTTAACTAGTGAGGCAACAGCAAATGAATTAGCACAACAGAGGGATATCAATCCCATTGGAATTCATTTAGGTGAACATGAATTGTGGTCAGTGACAACAACATGCCTGATGTGTATTCGAGAACATGTACCTGGCGGATTCGAGACATTTTTACAAGTGTAAAATGCTATACATTGTTCTGTACTTTGAATAAAACATGAAAAATAAGCGTCCTCTACTGGGTTTTCAATTTGTAGGGCACTACTGAGACTAATCAATGAGAGACTCTATGGACTTTTCTAATTCTTTTTGAATTTCAAATAGAAACAAAAGACCACAATTTTACACGACAGGGTTGGCATCTGCGGAATAGAAAAAAGCAAGTGCACTATTTGCAACAGCTACGATCATCAACTCTTTATATATCAACGTCATTAGTTTAATCAGGTGTCCATATCACATTAGTACGTATACCTGTTCAAGAGCATGCTATCTTGAGGGGATGGGGGTGGGGGTGTAGGATGTGGGGTGGAGTTATGGTGGAGGTGGAGGTGCTCTGAAAGAAAAAAAGGAGTTTTGAAGAGCTATTCTTGGTTGGGTGTGGGTGTGGGTGGGGTATGGACTGTGGATGTAGGTGTTGGTGTGGGTGTGGGTGTGGGTGGAGTGTGGGCTATGGGTGTAGGTGTGGGTGTGGGTGTGGGTGTGGATCGGTGTGGGTGTGGATCGGTGTGGGTGTGGATGTGGATATCTCTTTTAAAAGACGTGCAGCCACACCCACAAGCACACCCACACCCACACTCACACCCACGCCCACACTCACACCCACACTCACACCCACACCCACACCCACACCCACACCCACAACCACACCCACACCCACACTCACACCCACACCCACACCCACACCCACA